GCCCTCTCCTGGAGGAGCCCACCTCCCTAGCTCCACGCCCTCTCCCAAAGGACGCCCACCTCCCTAGCTCCACGCCCTCTCCCAGAGGACGTTTGCACCTTAGCTCCTCCGTATTCCAACAGCATTTGGGCTAGAACTTGAAGGCAGCTGCCCAAGTGCTCATCAATTAATTATTTCCTTTAGCCACTCATTGGACCACTTGTAGGGAGGGCTGGGCTTGTAGTGGGAAACACATGGGTTCAGTCCTGCCGGTGTCTGAAGTGTAGAAGGTCCAGCCTTCCTCTGGCCTCCATCCTCCCCCCACTCCCAGGACAAAAGGGGTAACTATCCTACTCTGCAGAGCAGCTGTGGGGATTCGTGGCACAGCCTGGGGCAATGCCAAGCATGAGAGTTCAAATGATAGGGGATGCTGACACGCTTCCCACCCTCCCTTTTGTGCTCAGCCAGAGGGCTTGGAGGCTCTTCGCGCGGGTCAGGTTGGAACCACGAGGGGCAGATGTGGAAGCCACTAACTGTGGCACTAACCCGTGGGTTGCCGGCAAGCCAGGTAGCCTCTTTGGGCCACAGACTCATCATCTGGAGATGGGGCTGAGCCAGTCTTTTTCTACCCTTTTATGGAAATAAGGGAAAATGATACTCTGGAGAAAGATTATGTCAGAGTCAGTTCTAGAGTGTCCTGGTAGCGCCCGCAGCAGGATGCACACATGATCCGCCCCGGGGCTTTCATGGTAGGGATTCAGGCAGTGTTTAGGGAACGAGGGCATTTGCCATAACCAGCCCCAGCCAGCCATTCCTGTTCTCGAAGCTCCGTTCTGGGTTTTCCAACTACCCGAGCGCACCGTACGTCCCCTGCATCAGGCGAGAACTACTTGCCAGGACTCCACCATGTCAATTTTAATTTCCAACATTGTGTTGTGATGTTTCAGAGTTTATACAGTTCCCAGGGAGAACCAGTCGTCACCATGGCAACCTGCAGGCCACTGCAGCGAGAGAAATTAGTGCCTGCGCAGACCGGGTAATTGCTGTAGTCTTTTCCTCCTGGGTTCCTAGTAGTGGGTGCTTGAGCACAAATGCCAAGTGGGCGCCAGCCAGCGAGGGTAATAGTGTGCAGCCATAAACTATCTGTTAGCTGATGCTTACATTTCAGACAAATTGAGGAGGCTGTCAAAGGCATTAGCTTCTATCCTTTCCAGGGAATCGCTCTGAGAGATTTCACTAGGGGAAGGGAAAAAAGAGAAAAGAAACATGAGAGAAATGACCGCGTCTGCATGATCATGAGCTGTGCGTGCACCCCAGCGACTAGAGGCCCCTCTGAAGAGGAGCGCCCCGTGCCGCTTGTCCTTGCGGCACAGAGCGCTGGCCTCTCCGGTGGGAGCCCGGGTGGGCGCCTGCAACCCGGCGGCCAGGATGCAGGCCTCATGCCCCGGATGTGCCGCTCACCTCTGGGGTATCGTACCTGCGCCTCACGGTGTTGGCCTGCTGGACGTGGACGGGCCCTTTGAGAAAACCTGGTCAGACTCCTTTGTTTTATAGCTCTAGAAGTCAAAACCTCAGACTCAAGAACAGAAGCAAATAGCATTTATATGAAGGCTCAGGACTAGAAATGAATCTCTGGGGTCAAATTCCATCACTCTAAAGAAGCTTTAATTTAGTTAGTTTTTTTTAAGATAGAGTCTCGCTGTGTAACACAGGCCAGCCTGGAACTTGCTTATGCAGCCCACGCTAGCCTGGAGCTCATGGTGATCCTCTTGCCTCAGCCTCCCAAATGCTGGAATTACGGGTGTGTGTTACCACGCCTGGCTGGGAGGCTTGATTTGGGTTGAATCAATTTCTTCATAACTCTACCCCTTGGTCTCCCAGCGCTCTTCGGAGCTATTTTGTGTAAGGTGTAGCTGGTGGCTGACCCCTGCATTTACATGTCCACCATGGACTTCATTGTCCTCAACTGTTTTTCTCAAAACACTGTGAGTAAAAGGAGGACAGCAAATATTTTCTATGTCCTTCTGAATTACTGATGGCTTCATAGTACTGGGTAGGGAATGAATGAATGAACTGAGAATTAAACTGCTTGTGTAAGGAGACATAGGAGCATACACAGGAACCTAATAAGCTCACTTAGTATAAACAGCAAATGCCGTGCAACAGGAGCTCAGGTCAAGATCAACAAGAATGAAAAAGGAGGAAGGAGACTTGGAGGAGGGAGGGCAGGGCAGGAAGGGGGAGGAGGCGAAAAAGGAAAGGGCTGCGGCATGAACAAGGGACCACTCCTCCTCCTCCAGAGGACTGCGATCTGCATCGATTGTCAGCGTGGACTGATAAAATCGAACATGTAAAAACAATTCACAGAAAGAATGAAAACCCGAGATCTTATAAAGGAAACCTCTTTGTGACCTGTCGGCCCCGAGCAGGTGGGTAACCACAGGGCCACTCCACAATGCCAGTGTAGGTCGCCACTTGCCACCAATTGAGAAAGAAGTCTCAAAATCACAAGCTGTACACTTGTGTGCTTTTAGGGTTAATGTCCACTGAAGGCTTCCGACTTGACGAGCGCTCCAGCCCACTGCGAGGCAAAGCCTAAGGCAGCTAATGTCTTTCTGAGCAGCACAGTAATGGGCCCCCTGGGCCTGCTCATCTTATTCCCACCTGTTTACTTCACTGTAGCAGTTTGCCTTAGTAGGGAGCCTTAAGGCATTAAAGTTACCAAAGCGCAGCATTTAAACCTGAGATTGGGCATGGGATGGGCTCAAGCAGCGGACGTGTCTGTAACCTAGAGTGAATTTCCTATGAAGCGCAATATTTTTGAACAATTATTTTTAAAATTCTTGTTGCTTTCTGATGCTGAAGGAGCAGAAGAGCTTCCCCAGGGAGCTGAGCTTGACGGTGAGCATCTTGGAAGATGCACATCTGCTTGGCAAGTCCAGTAGGTTGCTCAGGTTAGCTGTGATGCTGCCGTGGAGTGCTTTGGCCCAGGCTAGCACTAAGGAGGGCGCTGGGAGGCTGTCTTTACAGCGAGGGGGACTTTGGTCCTAGGCGCTAAAGCCCAGGGAGAAAGGACGAAAATAGCATCTCACAAACATGAGGACGTGCTGTACGATCAGGGTGCCTTACACTTCTGATTGGTGCCTTCAGTGAAACAGCTATAGATATGTCTGGGCTACACTTATTATAAGTTAGGTATAAAGGTTATCTTCTGATACACAATAAACTTCTAGCACGTTTTCTTCTTTGGGGACGTTATCTAAAAATGTGACATAAGGGAATAGGTACTCTAGTAGAAGGAGAATTTTTATGATTGAAATATATCATCTTTTCAACTTAAAAAAGCATAGTATCACTTATCAAAATGCATTCAGTTCTTTGAAGGAAGGTTAATTATTTGGATTTTAATGACTCTTGAAAAAATCACACCTTTTTTTCAAAGGCCCCTAGATATTACTTGTATTATAAAGATAAAAATACTCAGGTTTCCTACGTACAATTTCTCTCCTGGAAAAATTACCCCTTTCAACTCTTTTTTTTTTTAAAAATCATTATTTCAATTATGACTATCTTTTGATATGCAGCATCTTACTTACATTTTCATGACCTCATTAAGTCCTTTGAAGGCTTGAGGTGGAATTACTCTGACTGGGAGATAGGTGAGTGATCTAGGAGAGAAAAGAGGGAGCTAAGAGTTTAAGGATTAAGCCCGGTGCCTTTTAGGTCTATGAATACTGTGTGTGTGTGTGTGGGATGTGTGGGGTGTGTGTGTGTCTGTAGAGTTAGCAGTGGATTCACGTTGAGAGTTCTAACTGGTATCAGTAAAGATAGAAGCCATGAATCATTTTTTACTTCATAAAAATATACATAATTTGATGGTTAAGATTATGAATGTGAGAGTTCAACTCCCGGGGATCAGACCTCCCTGCCACCTGGCGGTGTGGCCCCTCCTGAGCGTGTTATTTAAGCCTCCTATTTTCATTTCTTTATCACTGATGTTGGAAGAATAATTCCTATTTCATAAGATTATTTGGTGATTAAGTAAACCAGGTAAAGGCTAGAGCCTGGCACCAAGTCAATAGTAACTAATTCTAGAGTGGCCCTCTGGGCTTCACTGAGTGGATGGACAAAAAGCTGTTTGGAATAGAATAGAGAAATCAGCAGTGAAAATATAGTGGGAAACCACGCAGGTGGGAAAAGGGACGATTCACTGAGACCATACTGCTAGGTGAGAGGGCAACTGGGCTGCGGTATGTCACCCCGCCGATAGCCAGCATCCTTTGGACCAGTCTGGCTGGCTAGGCAGGTGTCTCCTTGCTCCTTGCGGCTCCATGTGCATCCGTCCCAAAGCTGTGACATGTTGAAGAGGACAGCCACCCCCGACAGGAGGACGGGTCTGGTGTCGAGTAGCCGTGCTCCCCTGCTAGAACCTCCCAGCAAGCGCTCAAGGACATGTTGTGTCTTGCCCTATGCCATCTTCCTGGGGCAGGCTGGTGGGATATTGCTTCATCTTGGCCACTTTACTCCTACAGTTAGTTCACAGGGCCATCTCCTGCCATTTGGTGGAGTGTCTGTGTGACAGCATCTCCTCCAGGTACTCACATCCACAGGGACAGTTTAGCCTTCTTAAAATAGAAGTAAAAGCAGTACACAAGATGGCAAAGGGAGTGACCATCCTCAGTCGCAAAGCTAGGACAGGATGATGTGGGCAGATGATTCAGGAGGCCTTCTGCAGGAGGAGGACGCGTGCCTGGCCATTACGGAGCATCTGCCGCCGGGCAAATGCTTGGCCTAAGGGGTGGCCGAGGGAAGTGCTGGGAAGGGACTGTCCTGGAAAGGAGGACAGCAAGGACAGACACTGCCTTGTTGTCCACGGCCTATGCACCAGGGGCTGCATTAGTTGGAAAGAAGGAGCATTTTCCCTGTGATGAGCAGATTTCAGTCAGTGTAAGAAGGGACTTGCTGCTGCGTGGGTTGCGCAGAGCCACGTAGAACCTTATTTTATTTACTCAATAATGATGTAAAGTACATAGTTTCCTTTGATAGCAGAAAAAATTAGGTCATAAAGAGATTGAGTTGAGAAAGGTAACAACCAAGGAGACCAACCCCAAGGGCCCTTTCCACGGTGCAGTGCTTGGTAGCCTGTTTTCTCCTGGAGAGCAGGGTGAGCACAGAGGCATTGTAAGCTTGCTTCCCTGTAAGGAGGCGTGTCACACACACTGTCACCAGCTCTTCCTGCTTTGCAGCTAATGTAGAGGAGCTTTAGAAATTTCATTTGAGAAAAGTGCTTTTGCTCAAGACAGCTTCGTAGAGATGCTTCAACCCAAGAAGAAGGAATCCCAACTCAGTCCTGAGTCTGTTCCTGAGGACTGTCCTGCTGAGCACATTGTCCACCACCCAAAATTATTTACCAGCAGATCTGTGAAAAGCAGGGACAGAGGAGGGTGTAATCTTCCTGCAGTGGCGTGTTTGCTTCCTATATTTCTTCTGGAATCATGTCCGCTTGGCTTACTGATTAAAAACACAGTTTTATTGCTCTCTACACTGCCAAGCCAATAAATTTCCAGAAGAGAAAGCTGTATTCTACTGCACCCCATGCAACATCAATAAAGCTGACAGCCAAACTCTGATTCCAGAGTCTTTATTGCTGGGGAGAATGCAGCGCAGAGCATATTTTGGAGAGTGTTTACATAAAAGCTTCGGCAGAATCCTTCAGAGCTGTTTATTCATGCAAATGGAGCTCAGAAGCCGGCCTTCCTGCAGGAGGTGTACTCTTCCATACAGGAGCCTGCTGTGGCTCCCAGGGGAGCAGTTCAGTCCTGATGGAGCAGGGAGGCTGCCTGAGCTTTTGATGGGTGTGGATGAAGGATGAGGAGCGAGGGTTGGGCAGAAGGGGTAGAGGCCGTACATCATGCACCTGCATCCCCAGCGACGACGGGACAGCTCTGGTGCAGCAGAGGTTGTGCAGAGCTGATGTGGGTGCTCCAGAGAGCAGGGAGGCCACTGTGAGGAGAGGAGAAATAGAGCTGAACACTCACAGGACACCAGTGGCAGGTGGCTTTGCGAGCATGGCTGGGCCAAGAAAGAGGCCTGAGAGAGGCTAAAGGGAACTGGCTGGGACAGGCGCCTCATGATTTTGACAACAGATGTGCTCCCGTGGGATGCCACCGAGAAACCAAAAGTAGTTAAATAATCTAAGATGATAAATAAATAAGTAAATACACACGCGCACACTTGCCTAGAGTGAGTCAAGATGAACACTAGGAGGAAAGGGCATAAAGTAGTTAACCACAAGCAGAAGGACTCGGAATGGACTGATAAGAATGTTACCTGAAAGAAGAAAGAGGGTTAACTCAAGCGCTCTGTACCTGAGGGGCAGATGGAAGAGCAAGATCTACCATCTGTTGAATGAATGACTCCTGCTCTCCTTCTCTCCTTCCTGCCTTTATTTTTCTTAGAGTTGGTCAGGCATACACGTATTCCTGGAATTTTGTGTGCTTCAGGAACTCTGGTGGAAGATGTGGTCAACACGGAAGGAGGACGTGGGGAGAAGAGGCCACAGGCAAGGATGGCTCAGGGTAGAAAAAGAGATGAGAACTATGCATAAGGTAAATAAAAATCAAGAGAAGACACTGCCCCATCTTGACGGGTCTGTGCCCTTGCAGCTGTCCACCAGGCCCTCGCGGCAGCAAGTGAGAAGGGCTCAGGAATACCAGAACCAAGGATGAGGAGACACCACTAGACCATCTTCACTCCCTCCGGGTTAACCAGAACTTCCTTTTTTGTTTTCCCCTGCCAACCCTCCCCCTGGCAGTGCACGACGCTGTGACTTGTCACTGTAAACTCCGCCCTAGCCCAGTCCCATAGAAGCTCCACCACTGGGTCTGCAGCTTCTCTTTTAGCCACCCTCCAGCTCCAGGCCATAAAGCATTTCTTTGCTTCCCCCGCTTCTCTTTGGCACTGAGGAAGGAGCCTTACACTTTTGTCTCAAGCAAATGTGTCACTGAGCTCCAAACTGTCTGAGAAGGCCATCTCAGGTAGATGACAAAGAACCAGGATTACTTGGCCAGCACGAGTTCTCCCTGTAGGGTAGAGAGCACGTCTTCCAGAGTGAGTGAATGCCTGCGGCGGCCAAGTCCAGCAGCTCCTTCTGTATATTACGCGTCCATAGCTCTTCACTGCCTAAAACTTTGATTTTAGTTGAGTGGATGCAGCAGGTGGCACCTGGATTCTGACCCTGACCCCACTTGCCAACGTGCCTTTGCCACAGAGGTTGAAGCAAACCCTTGAATCGATAACAAAGGCTGCCTTTTCCTCACAAGCTCTTGAGCCTCTGCTCAGCTCCACCTGCTGGTCTGCAACCCTTCCATTTGGCGGCTGAGGAAGCGAAGCCATCTCTGCTCCTTAGCACTGGAATGCAGCTGTTCATCCTCCTCTGGGATCTGTTGATTCCCTGTGTCTTTGCTAAAGCTCTGGGCATCGTCTAAGCCGGACCCAACCAGCTTTCAGGAGCTTTGCTGTCCCCAGAGCTCACAGAGGAGTGAGACTCTCGCTTTTCCTCTTCCTGAGCACCAGATCTCCATCTACCCCTCTGTCCTGGTTCCTTTGAGGTTGCTGCTCAGCAGAGCAGTTCCTGCTTGCCGTGTGGTCACGATCAACCTGGCGTCTTTTGCTGCTGGCATCTGACTTCCAAATAGGACCCCTGACCTTCATTGGGACCATGGGCTTCAGCTACAAAGTGTCTTCACACTGCTTCCTCAGGTGGCTCCCTGGTGGGCTGCAAAATTTACCCTTGAGAACAGAGGATGACTAGGTGGCTGAGGCTCTTGACTGAACTGCTTCCCTGGAATTCTCTTCCTTCGATTGGTGCTTCCTCGCGGGTCACATCCTCTCTTCAGAGCAACCTTCAGCCACGCCCTGGTAAATGTGCAGAAGAAAGGCCCCATCGTTGGCTCCCGGGGAGCATTCTCAGAGGTGTGCATCTGCAGCCCTCCTTCCTAATACCTTTTCTCCCTCAGCTGCTGATGGCTGAGACCACCTGCAGCCAACCCACCCCAGTGCACCCTCAGTCGGGGTCCATCCCTGAGAGAATTTACAGCATTAAGAGAGAGCCACTGATCTCAAGGAAAATTGTGGCAAATTCTCTTGCCTCCTTAGTAATTTCTGCTGTCTCTCGGCCCTAAGACATGGCCGTGGTTTCTTTTTTCCTTCTTCTTGACTTCCTTGAGCTTAATGGTACAGATGACCTTGGAAAGTTCCAGTCCACTGGCTGGGGGACTAATCCTCCACAATGCCGGCTGGAGAACTCCCCAGCTCTCCTGGAGGGCTCGCAGGCCTCCTTTCAAGGAAAGTGATGATTTGGAAATCTTTGCTTATAAAAGCCTATCAACTGAGAGACACTTGCATTATCAAAGCGTTCTTTGTTCTATGGAAGGATTCACTGCTGGATTTCTTTAAATAGCAAATTCCCCAGGTGAATGGAAGATAGGGTTCAACTGATACTTTTTTTTTTTTGCTTAAAAAGATAGGCACTGCATAAAGCAAATCAGACCTGCATGTCTTTGTTACCCCTGGATTTCTCAAGGGTGTAATCCGGTTGCAGGGCAGGCCCACCTTGTAGGGTCCACAGGTGGGGAGGCAGGGGTGGAGTGGCAGTCCACGGAAACCC